CTTATGAGAAGAGATCCGGCAAAAACTAGCACATTTCAGAAGGCTCGATATAATTGCCCTTCCCTCGGATTTCGTGTCGAGACTCACTTTGCTCTCCTTATTGAATGCAAGGATTGATTTCAATTCGTCCTGTTCGCCTATCGGTGAACCTCCATCCGTCCTATTCGTCGCGTAGCAACTAGTTGTTCGGACTCCACCCCTCCGCGTTGCCGTCTAATCAAGATGGTCGGTCGATCACTGATGGGTGATTTCGCCGCTCGATGGTCACAGCTTTCTTATATATCCCCGGTGGCAATCTTATTCCCGAAGCAATCTGAGCCATGAGGTTGGCTTCTTCATTACTAGATCGAGGAACATGCTTAATAGCCACGTCATCGAATTAATCCAAAAGCTGGACTGCCATCGCGAAGTAAGGTAACAAGGCTTTGCTGCTGCACTTATACTCTCCGCTGATTTGTTTCAGAACCAAAAGGGAATCACCGATGATCTGAATAGTAGAAGCCCTAAGATCGATTATTAAGATTTCTAGTCCGATTATTAACGCTTCATACTCAGCTTGATTGTTTGTACATTCAAAGTCCAATGTAAAAGATAGTTGTTCCGTCTTAAGTCCTTCAGGGGAAATCAGGATTATTCCTGCTCCCGCTGATTCGCTGGTGCTTGACCCATCGAAAATAATGGTCCAAGGCGTCAAATAAGTCATTGACACATCGAGGCCTTTTGTTCTTCTGATTCTACCTCCAAACAAGGATGATCGACCAATAAATTGGCTAGGACGGGCATAGGGTATTCATACTTAGGCGTGGCCAAGTTGAGGTGCCTAAAGTCGATACAGACCCTTAGCTTCCCATTTTTCTTGACCACAGGCACCAAATTAGATAACCATTCTGCATACCTAGTTGTTCGGATGAAGCCCGCTTTCAACAGCCGCTCGATCTCCTCTTTGATCTTAAGAACGACTTCGTTGGACATTCGTCTGGGTGGCTGTTTGAATGGTCTGAACCCAGGTTTAATTGGTAACCTGTGTTCGACCAATTCTCTACTAAGCCCAGGCATTTCTGAGTAGTCCCATCCCAAGCGAAAGAGTCCTTGTATTGTCTCAGTAGTTGAATTACCTTTTCCCGAAACTCAGGCTCCATTAGCTGGCTGATATAATTCTCCATCTCCAGCCTCTCGCTCCATCGTGAACTTGGAGTCCAATAAGGAATTACCTTACTCTAAAACGTGTTGTTCGGACTCCCTTGTTAGGGACCTCCAGACGGAAAGACATATGTCGTTTCGCGGCGAAGTGGAAGGATGGCAAATCAGTCCC